GGGCCTGCGGGGGGGGGGAGCCGCTCGGAGTCATGTGCTCCGGCAGAATGGGAGGGGGGCGAGTGAGTGCCCCCTCTTGCCGGTGCGCTAGTGTGGGAGCGCATGCGTGCGCGGTGCATTGTGGGGGAGCAGCCCCTAGCCAGGCCGCCGGAGGGCGCGGCGGCGGCGGGCCGGGCGGGGGGCGGGAGGATGGGGGAGCTGGGGCTGGGCCAGGAGTTTCACACGTGGCAGCAGTTCAGCAGCTTCTTCGACGACTGGTGCGAGGAGCACAAGGTGCTGTTCATCATCGCCAGTCTGAAGCCGCTGATCTCGCTGCGCCAGCACCCGCTGCACTACCAGCCCAACCTGGCCGAGACCCTGCGCTTCCGCTTCGTGCGCCTCATCTGCAAGCACAGCGGCACCTACGTGGGGCAGAGCACCGTGCAGCGCAACAAGCTGTGAGTGCTGACGGCCGGCGGGCCCTCCCCTCTGCCCAGCTCCCCGCCCTGGTGCCCTGTTCTGCTTGGAGCAATGCTGGGCCTAGGTGCTGCCATCGCCCCCTGTCCCCAGTCACTCTTCTGTGGGGGAGTCTCCTGCTCCCCCTGCCTCATGCATCACTCTGGAGGTCCAGTGTTTAATTCTCCCTAGGGGGGTGGCAGCCTTTGGCCCTGGCTGACTCCAGCAAGGGACACTGATGCAGGTGCAGGATGTACCCGGTGTCCCAGCTCAGCATGGGCCCCCTCCCTACCAGCTCATTCTTGTCCCTATTATGGGGTAATGCTGGCTCTCGCTGCCCTGGAGAGCTGTGTTGAAGAAATCCCCAGTCTTTGCCACTGGCAGTGCTGCAGATCCAAAGTGCTGTGTGCTGCCCTGGCTGCTTTTGTGAGAGCTGGATTGCCCACTCCCACAGCCCTCTTGTTTGGGTCTGGCCCCTCTTTCCTGTTCCACACCTGCTGGCTGCACTGGTAGCCTTTGGCTGCATGTGTCTATGATTGGTCTCCCTGGCAGAGCCTTGGCTGACCTTCCTGTCTCCCACAGCAGTGAGAAGATCGACTGCCCAGCTTCCATCACACTGCGCTTGGGCCCTAAGAAGGACCGACTGGTGGTGATTGAGGCCAGCTTGGAGCACAACCACAAGCTCTCAGAGGTGGAGTTTGCCCACTACTTCAAACGGCACCAGCTGGAGGCCAGCATGGGCCTGCCCATCCGTATCACCAACAGCGTCTCTAAGCGCTTCCTGGCACCTGACCTGGTCTGGAACCTGGAGGACTACAGCAAGGCCAAGGACAAAGGGATGTGTGAGCTCCTGAGCCAGCTGGACGGGCTCTTCAAGAGTGACCCGGGTGCCAAAGTCAAGCTGGTCTTTCAGGAAGATGTGGCTGTGCTGAATAGCATCTTCTTGGCCACCTCGCACATGCGGGGACTGGCCCAGCACTTCCCTCGCTGCCTCTATATGGACAAGGCCACCTGTGTCAACAGTGAGTTTGATCTCTACTCAGTGCTGTGCCAGGATGCCAATGGGCAGGGTCGTGAGTGTGCCTACTGTGTGGCACGCCGGGGTGTGCCTGACCTAGTCATTTTCATTGTGGCTTCCCTGGTGCAGAGTGTGCCTGACATCAAGTTGAAGGTGAAATGTTTGACAGTAGGGGCAGGCATCACGGACGTTGATGCGGTGGAGGAGGTGCTGCCCTGTGCCCGTGTACAGATCTGTCGACTGCAGGTTTTGGAGGCACTGTACCGCAAGGCACATGAGCTGGGTGTTCCCAAGGAGGACAAGGTGCGCAACCTCCTGCACAACATGGCCAATGCCAGCTCACCCCGTGTCTACAGCCAGTACCTGAGTGACCTGGAGGATGTGGCACCATTAGACTTTCTGCAGTACTATCTGGAGACCTGGCATCACAACAAGGGCACGTGGGCTGAGTGCTGGGCCTTTGAGAAGAACCGTGACTGCCCCTTCCTGGAACACATGAGCTTCCACCAGCAAAAGCTGCGCTCAGCGCTCAGCCCACCCATGGGGCTGGCAACCTGCGTGCGGGGACTGCTGGACCTGCAGGCCTTACGGGTTGAGATGGCAGCACTCAATGAGGAACAGGTGTCAGAACTGTACCGTGCTGTGTGCCCACCTGAGAATGCCGCTCTCATTGCTGAGGAGCTGAGCCTGGCCAAGCATGCCAACTATCATGTCAAGGAGGTGCCTGAGGGCTTTCTGTTGGATGGTGGCATCTGCTCCTTCGTTGTGAGCCAGGACCTGGCCGCTTGCAGCTGCTCCATTTATGTCTCCAGCCGTCGGCCCTGCCGCCACCTATTTGCTACCCGCCTCTGGACTGGACAGCCCCTTTATGATCCCAGCTTGTTGCAGACCCCACCAAGCCCTGAAGAACAGGACACCTAGCTTCCTGGGTGCCTTGCAGACTGAGCAGCAGCCTTGGGGCAAGTCCCATAGGGCTGGCCCTGGGGCATCACTAGAGAAAGGGGTCCCAGGCCCCAGAGACAGTGGAGTGAGTTCCCTGCCAGTGGCTATGGGGCACAGGCCAGGAGGGAAGGCATGTGGTGTGGACTGGGCTAGGCCATTTGCCCACCTGGGCAGGCTGGGGCTAGACCTGTGTGCCCTCTACAGTTTGGGGCATGTGAGGAGGCAACCAGCATCAAAGAAAACTCTTTATAAAGTTCCCATCAATAAAATGCCTTTTGGAAATTGCTCTGTGTGATCGTGGCCTGGCCCAGATGGCATGTGGGGTCACATCATTGGTGGCGGTACAGCAACTCTGCTCCTTCCCTCTGGCTCTTTGGCCTTGCCAAAGTGTGCCAAAGGTGCCCTCCCTTGGGCTGTCTGCCTCCCCTCTGTGCATTGGAGCAGACCTAGCTTAGTGGGCTGAGTTAGCCTTTCACTGGGCTCGCTTTGCCTCTGCATATCAGTTGTCAAATAATGCTCAGCCTCTGAGAACAAGGCTCAGTTTAGCAGCCCCCAACCTGAGGGCACTACCTCCAGACTTGTGGTTACCCCAGCTCACCTCCGGGCACTCATGTAGGCCCTCACAGCTAAGCCCTGAGTGCTGACTTAAAGTGGGGTGCCAGTATGCCCCCCACCCCAGGAGTCTCTACAGCAGGAGTTGTCCCCTGCCTTCCCCCCTCACCTCAATCTCCAGTGGTCAGTATAATTCCTCACCACCAACTTGCCCCCACTGCTCTAGGTGAAAAAGGGAATTCTGCCTCTTGGCTGTGAAGAGATCTTTCTAGTGACCCTTGCAGCAGCAAACTGAGGTGACTGATCCTCTGCTGAAGTCTTGGCCATGAATGTGACTGCTCCCCTCCCTGCTGGCTGGAGCGGGGGTCCTGCTGGATGACTGCGCCTGTTCCTTTGTGGTCCTTAGGTATAGTCCAGCATAGTGCAGTGGACCGGTAGTGGGGACTGCCAGGGGCTGGTATTGGGACTGTCCCACCAGCTTCCATGTAGGCCTGGTGCTCCCAGAGTACTAGCCAAGCTAGCAGGGGCTGGGAATCCAGGAAGAAACAGATGGGTTAGAGGGCAGCCCCACCTGCTGCGTTGGCTTGGAGTCAACAGGCACCCTGGCCATGCCAGCACCTCCCTGTGGAGGCAGGTGCTGGGGCATGTGGGCTGTTGAGCAGATGGGACCAACCTTGCTGCTGGCCACATCCTTGGCACAAGCAGTTGCCTCTGTGAGCTGTCTGTCCCCTGGGCCCAGACTGAGGTGAATGCTGCTGGTCTCTCAGGTGAAGCTGTGGTGGGATGAGCCACATGGGTCCTGGTGCCCACTTTGACTGGCCTTGACCTCTGACTCATAGCACAGGGCCCTGCTCTAATTCCAGGGGTGTCTCTCCTCTCCCCAAGCCAGGGTGGGACCCAGGTGTCCATGGCCCTGACTGGGGGCACGTGCTGTCTCTGCAGCCCCTTTAAGGTATTTTCCCCACTTCAAGGGGCAGAAACCAATGAGCAGCCGTTGCCTCCTGGTCTCACTCCGGTTGGCCAGGGGCTCAGACTGCCCTACCCAGCCCTGAACCTAAACATAGCCAGGGATGCTAGGTGAAGTTGGGCATGTGTGAGTGTGTGGGAGGCTGAGCGTCTGCTTGTGTTTGGGAGGCTGCACACATTCTTGGTGACTCCTACACTCCTGTGGCAGTGTCAGGGAACATGCACAAGGAAGGAGCCTGGGCATGAATGGGATTGAGGACCTGGCGGGGCTCCGGGGGACTGTGCCATGGTCAAGGGTGATGTGTGGCCAGGCATGAGCAGGGAGTGCTGTGCCCACTGTGCTGGGGTTGGTGCCTGGTGTATGGTGCTCAGGAGTGGGGTGAAGGTAAGGGGGTGCTGGGCAAGGGTATTGGCTGGCTAGCTCTGCCAGCAAGGAATGGACCTTTTTTCTTTGCTAGTTGCTGGCTCTGATCTGACTGGGGTGAGAACCCTGGCTGGCCCAGGTGCTGGGGAATACAGGGTTGGGTTCTTCTCACACAGGCACCAGTTCAGGTCTGCCCTTGGGACAGTTCAGCTGGCCAGTGCTTCCCACACTAATGGAATTTGTGGTTTCTCTGGGCTAGTACTGTTGGGATGAGCTGGGTTGTGGCAGCTGCTGCTGCAGCTGCTCAGTGCCTCTGGGTTTCCAACCAGTCAGTCATGGGTGCTGTGTGGGGTTGGGTGCCTCATGGCTGATTGTGTTACGGCTCTGGAGGGCACCCTACCTAGCCAGACCCTCCAGCTGCCCACTGTGCTGTGGGTCACAGGCAGATCTGATGCAGCCCAGCCAGGCCCCCGTGGTTACAAAGGGTGAGGGTAGAGATGGCTCTGGCTGGAGCAAGATGATCCTTTGCTGTTTCTTCCTGCAGGCTGATCTGCTGCCCCAGGTGAATCTCACAAGCCAGCAGGTATTCAGTGCACTTGACTTCCTGACACGGGGTGGAAGGCAGCATTTAACCCTTGGCAGTTGTATCCCTGGTAAGTATGGAGTCTGGGGCTTTGGAGACCTGCTCTGTGCAATTACATTGAGCATGTGGGTGAGGGGGCAAGTGGGACACACAGGACCATGGCACAGGGAGGATGCAGTGCATAATCGAAGTAGGGGGCAAAGGGGTGTGGGCAGGGTGAAGGAGGAGGCAGGGCTGCAGTAGGGGCACAGGGTGGCTGAAGTGGGTATAGTTAGTGTGGCAGTGAGGATGGGCAGGGGAGAATGAGTGGGTGACATGTGGGACGAAGCCTGATCCTATTCTCCCCCACCATTTATCCAGCAGGGCTGGCATCCCTGCAGGACCAGCTGCAATGGCCTGGACCAGCTGCCTGCTGTGGGGGGCTCTCCTTGAGAGGCTGCCCAGCTGGGTGGTCAGGGATGTCTCTTACAAGTTTGTGGACCCACAGGACCTGCAGTGGCTGGGGCAGGTGGTGCTGGAGTGGGGGAGCTGGGGCCACTGCTGGAGGAGCTTGGTGTCCTGCTGGCCCAGGACCCAGGAGCGCAGCTTCAGCTGGTGTTCAGCAAGGGCAGCCTGCATGTGCGTAGTCTCTTTATTATGCCAGAAGCCCTGCAGACAAAGGCTTGCACTGTTCCAGAGCACCTCTGTCTAGACTTCCTGCCTGCCCTTGCTCCGGACCTGACCCCTGCTTGCAGTCCTGTGCCTACATACTGGTTTGGCAGCACAGCTTGTGTGGCCTTGCTCTCAGTGTTGCAGGTTAGGCCAGAGCTGGGCATGAGGCTGTGGCCTGACTCTTAAGGGCAATGGTGCCTGAGTCCTAGGTACTGCAGGAGCTGCTACCCAGGGCTGCTGTGCATGTGTGTGTACCCTTGCTGCTGGATGTGCTTTGCGCCCCCTTGTCACAGGAGCCAGCTATGACCTGGGTCTAGAGCCACCTCCAACTATTTCTGCACAGCCCTTCCTGCAGCTACTACCGGTGTCTAGCAATGTCTATCACAGATCATGCTGGAGGTGGGCACAGGGCATGAGATGCTGGTGGTGATGCAGGCCAAGTTGGGTTGTGTCCACCAGCTGGTCATGGGGGACCAATTGCAAGTGCAGACCTACCCCTTGTCTCTGTGGGAGCTGGCTGCTCATATGTTTCAGCAGTTCCTGGGGCCTTACAAGCTGAAGCACTTGGGTGGACCAGAACTTGGCCCGCTACTGAAGGAACTGAGTACCCAGCTGGCCAGTGCCTGGGTGTGGCTGGTGTTCTCGCCAGGTAATGCTGAGCTGCAGAGCTTCTTTGTGTACACCTCTTTTATGCAGCATCTACTGTGTTGCCTCCCAGACCAGCTGATCCTGCTGTGCCCGCCAGCCCAGGGTGCCATCTTCCAGCTGCACAGCATCCTGTGCCAGGATGGGGCTGGGTGGGTGTACCCTTGTGCCTACTTACTAACCTGTGCCCAGGCACCCACAACTGCCCGCTTTGCTGAGGTGACCCTGTTGCAGAGTGTGCCCCAGGCTAAGCCCAACTTGTGCTGGCTCCTGCTGCAGTCCAACCTCTCTGAGCTGGATCTGGTGTAGGCCCTATTTCCTGGGGCCCGCATCTGCCTGAGTCCTGCCCATTCACTGGAGAGCCTGCTGTAGCAGGCACAGGTGGATGGGGTGCTGCCTCCACCCCTGCCCAATGCTCTGTGCAGCCTGACTTACATCAACTCCTCAGAGGCCTACCAGCCTCACCTGGCCTGGCTGGAGACTGGTCCCTCCCAGCTTTCTAAAGCACTTCTGGTAACACTGGCATGGCTGCTGGGCTCTTTGCAGTGCAGCCTAGGTGCCTGGCCCTTGCAGGGATGGCAGTGTTACCTGGCTGCCACGTGCTCACGTGAATTAGCTGCATGGCCCCAGAACCCTTAGAGCCCTTCTCTAGCTGGGTGCTGGGTTGAGGGGATGTGATCCCTCCCTGGGGGCCTCCCCAAATTCCCATCTCCACCCTGAAAGAGCCAGGTTGCAAGCTACAATTGCTTTATGCCAGGAATCCCCCTATCCCACAACCCTGCACTCTTGCTTAGGTCCTTGTGGAGTCTGTCAGTGCATCAGGGAGAAAGATGGGGCAGGAGCAGGTGGTACCATGTTAGGGTAGGGATGGGGTGGGGAAAATCATGCACTGGAGGGCTCAGCTGGGTGTGTGGCTGCCACACCTGCGCAAATTAGAGCCTCTTTGTGTTTGTAATAGTGTCAAGGCTTGCTGTAGGCAAGACAGGGGAGGGACTGGGTGCCAGAAGCTGGCTGTATAGCACCAAGCTGTCTTTTTGTGTCATAATGATTTGGACCCAGGCAGGGCAGAACTCCCTAGCTTGCTCCTGCGGCCATATGGCTGAGAGCAAGCAAAACTTGGTAGCATCCAAACCTCAAGTCTCTGGGCCTGGGCCTGGACGTAGGATGCCCTCCAAAAGATTTGGAAGTAAAGTAAAAGCTCTGTTATCTGGAATGGGGGATGCCAGTTAATCAAATATGCACCATCTGGTGCACTCCCTGGTGTCAGTGTGCCAGGGGACAGGGAAGGGGGCCCCACACAGGCTGCTTTGCCCTGGGCTGTGGTTCACAAGGAAGAAGTGAAGAACTCGGATTGCGACGGTGAAACCGGAAGTGGGACTTCCGGTTTTGCTTTTGCCGTATCCCTTGGAAGGAAGATTTGTATTGCCAGATGCCGGTTAGCGGACCTTTCTGTTTGGTAAAGTGCCTGATAACATGGCTTTTGTTGTATCTGAAGCCCCAGGTGGGGGTGGAGGATGCTTGCTGGTAGCAGGGCCGCATATGCTTCTTGAATGATTCACATAGATTTGGAATTGATTTGGCTGATTTGACTTGGGACATGAAAATTTTTCCTTAAAAAAATCAGGCAGGGCAGAGCTATGGCTCAGGCTCCCTTCCCCACAGCCTGCCCCATAGGAGCCTACACATTCCAGTGCTGCAGTAACTGTTTTGATCATATCTTCAGCCTGTACTTGGGAACAGGAACTGCACCTGCTACTGGACAGTGCTCCTCTCCCTGAACAAACCTAGGGGTCCTGTCTCCCAGCCCCCTTTCCCTCTCTCCCCTCCCCCAGCCACCAGACTCCAGTCCTCTCTCAGGTGTCTGAGCTGGTGTTCCTCTTCCGTTCCCTTCCCAGAACCCAGGCATCCTGACATTCAGCACAGAACCCCAGAGCATTCTGTCCCCTTCTAAGACCTTGAAGGAAACTCGGTGGCACCCCAGTGGCAGGTTAAGGTACCAGGTCAAACTCTTCCCTTGAGCCAAGAAACAGATGCTGTTGGGGGCCAGTCAAGATAAACCAGACATGGGTTGGGGACTTGGGTCTGCATCCATGCCATGGGGGCAAGAAGAGTGGAAGCAGCAATTGCTGCTGTCATGGGCAAAAGTGCAAGCAAGATGCCACAGAGCAGAGCCTACGGGGACGGGTAGTGCTATTATAGGTGTTTGAGGCAGGCCCTGGGGAACACTGAGGCCAAGGCCAGGTCCATGACCTGCAGCAAGGATCTGGAAGAATGTGTAGGATTGTTGCTGGGGGTGCTCATGGGTGACCCCAAACAGCAACAACTGAACTGGTAAGCAGGGACAGGGACCATCCTACTGAGCAACCAGCTAGCTGCAGAGCTGGGCTCTGCTTTTGCAGGCAGGAGCTCCTGTTGTCCCCAACGGACAGTGTGAGTTCGTGCCCGGTGCGCTATTGCCAATGAACACACAGGGGTGGAGGATCCGACTTAATCTTTATTGTTTCCAGTCTGCGCAGAGAGGGGTGCTTGGCAATCATTTGCAAAGCAAGCACCACCGGTTTCTACCTTTGGGTACCTTTTTATACATATGTTTGCAAGTGTATCGCTCAGTGATTGGTTACAAGCCACTGACATAAGACGTTCTCTACTGAGCATGTCTCTATACCTATGTTTTAGCCATGTATTTCATTTACATACTTTTGCCCTGCCCAGGGGTGTGATTTTTAGCATTATAATGAGACCTTTTTCTGAACTTCTTGCTATCTTACAGGTGTCAGGGAGACATTATCCTGCTGGTGTTAGGGAGGCATTCCAGGAATCCTCCGCATCCCACACGCTGTGCTCTGCAAGCATCTCTTAACACACACATGCCACACCCCTCCCAGCATCAGTAAGTTGCTTTAAGTATTCAGTTAGATATAGTTTGCAAAAGCTAGATATACCATAAAAAAGATTACATAAAAAGATTACATCACTCCTGCATGCAGAGACTGCAGAGAGGAGCAGGGCATGTGCACAGGGGCAGCAGCGATGGGTGGGATACAGCACAGCAGAGCTTGGGGCTCATGGCTGCCTGCTGGGGCTTTGTTGGTCTCGTGTCTCAAGGGATGCTACTGTGGACCCATGCCCTTGGGCCCTTCCCTGTGGTCCCAGCCTCCCAGGGTGTTTGCGACTGAGCAGTGCCATCAAGCCTGCCTGGCAGCTCTCATCTCTTGCAACATAGAATTGGGTTCTAGAGGTCTTCTTGGGGTGCCCACCTGTCATGCCACGCCATGGCTTTGGCGTGTGCTTTCTTACTGTTGTTGGGTAGGTCGGGTCACACCCAGCACGGCCTGGCCAGAGAATCCTGGCTGCATTACGAGGGGACACTATTCCAGGACAGGTCCTGCTATGCCAGGCTGATGCTGTTTCCCCGAGGATCCTCGGTGGCAGTGACAGCACTGCAGCTTGAGGGCATTTGAAGAGGGGGATCTTTTGGATGGAGACCCTCCTACTGGTGCTGCTGCTCAGAGGCCTGCAGGGTCCAAATTAATGCAGCCCTTGGACAGCAGGGACAGTGCACGTCACAGGGGTGGGGGCTGCATTCTGCTAGGGACTAGGGTGTGGGGGCACAATGCAGCATGAAGGAGGAAATGGGGAACAGGCCACATTAAGGGCTAAGAGGTGGAAGCTGCGGGAGGGCTGCAATGCATTGTGGGGGTGGGGGAGGACTGTAGTGCATTGTGGAGGTGGGTGGAGCTGCAGTGCATTGTGGGTCTGGGAACCCTGGGTTCCTGCTGCTGTGGCTGTTGGAGCGTCATGGCTTGTGGTCGCCTGGCTTGTGAGTGAGGAGGGGACCACAGGGGAGGAGGCGCCTGGGATGGCCGTGGGTCACTGTCCTCTCCTGCTCGAGCTGCCTGTGCTGTGCAGGGGCTCCTTCCTTTGCCAGGGCCGGAAGTGCAGGGGAGGGGATGATGGGCGGAGGGTGTTGCTTGCCGAGCATAGGGATAGTGTCTGCAGGGCTGTGTGTGACCTGGGACGGGACTGGGAGAGCAGATTTGCAAGAGCCAACACCACTCAACACGTGTGCAAATGTCTATCATGCAACACGGGGCACTGTGTGTGATGGGAAGTGGCATCTTGCGGGGGGAGGGGGGGGTGAGGGGCTGCTTGGTGTATAATGTGGGTGCTATCCAACGTGTGGTTGCTTTGTGTGTGTGTGTGTGTGGGGGGGGGGCACGTATACAAGGGTGACACAGCAAAGCAGCTGTTCAAGTGATGAAGGTTCTAACACCTACCGAAGGGCGGCACGCATGTTGTGGGGTGACGCAATGTGGGGCTGTCTGGGTGGGTGTGCAAGGCTGACAATGGGTAGGAGGTGTGTGTCACATAGAGGGTGATATTATTGAGTGGCCAGGTGTGTGCATATGTGTGTGTGTAGGCATGCAGAAGTGCAGTGGGAGGCTCCATTTGCATGTAATGCTGTGTATGCTGGATGAGGGAGGCATGCAGCAGGGGCCAATTCCTTCCTCAAATGAGATGGGGACTATACTATAAACAGCCTCCAAGGTTTCATCTGGAGGGGGAGTTTACTCTGGCAAAGGAGTTCTTTTGTCAGGATGGTTGAAAGCAGTTCCTGGGATGGTGCAAGCCCTGCTAGCAAAAGAATTAGGTCAGCATGACTAGGTCAGTATGGTGGGGCTTACTGGTTCAGCCATACTGGCCACAGGGTGAGGGTTTCCCACATGCAGAGGCTGGCAAAACCTTTTAGTGCAGACCAACCCTCCCCTTCAGCTCAATGTCCTCTCTCCATCAGTTCATCTGTCATGCCATAACTTCTGAATGTGGGATTGATACTAAAATTTCTGGGAATATTTTAGGCCAGGGTGTAGCAACCTTTGAGAAGAAGTGTGCCAAATTAACATGGCTTGCTCTGAAGGTGGGCTGCTGCCAGAGATATAACTAGTAAAGTTTAAACCCCAGACCAGTGACTCCCTTCTCTGCCCTGCTCCAGCCAAACCAGCTGCTGTTACTATAACTGTACCTGCTCTCTCACCCCGGTTACTGCAGGTGTCTTGTACCCTCATCACTGATTGCCATTGCCACCAACTGCTGCCAAAGAACAAGTTGGCTGAAAGAGAAGCAGCAGCTCAGTAGAGGGCATGAGAGGCAGTGAGCAGGGAGGGCAGCATGTTACTGGTTGGTGCAGTAAGTACACTTCACTGCTGCTGCCACTGCTGATTCCCCCATTTACTGATGTCCTGACTAACTCACACCCACAGGCCATGTGAAATTGCTTTGTGGGCTGGATCTGGTCTGTGAGCCACAGGTTGCTAACTCCTGTTTTTGATGGCAAAGGATAGAACCAATCCAGGGGAAAATTGGGAAACCTAAAAGCTAGTTTTGTACCATCCAATTCTGAATTCCATTAAAAATGAAATCAAATCCCAGGGCTAGATTTCTTATTTTCATCTGTAAAGACCAGCACAGAACAGAGTCTGATTAAAATAGGCTTTTCTGCATCATGAGAATTGTGAAGCATGTAAGTCCAGACCCAGTGAGAAAGGACCTGCTGGGAGCATCTATACATTGCCCTGTATGGTGATGTAGCAATGTGCTACATCACTTTATAGCATGCTGTGGCAATGTAGCGATCACATGAGGCTACATGTGATTGCCAGCTACATTGCTGTAGCAGCATACTCCCCGATTACAGTGCACCACTATGGCAACGTAGTAGAGAGCTCTTTGACTGTGCTGCCGATACAGCGCAGTATGGGAAGTTACTGTGCTGTGTTTTAGTATGTTAGTACTAAAAGGAAGTACTAAAATGGCGCAGTAGCAAAGCTGCTGTATGGTGACGTGTAGACATGACCACTGAACACAAATCTTGGAGACGTGGGTGGAGTAGTAAACAATGCTCAGGCCAGGACAGTCATGCAGAGCTGTCTGGATGGTTTGCTAAACTGGGCCCCTTCAGAGAAGTGAGGTTTTTCACAGCTAGGGGGAAAAGTATTACCCCCAGGAACAAGGAATGCAGGTGCTCTGCAAAGGTGGAAGGGAGCTGGTGAGGAGGAGGAGGGGAGACTTTTTCCCTTTGATTGGGTAATGGATGAGGCTGGTACTGGAGCCTGGCCTTCTGTTGTGGTGTCTGTGCTTCAAAGAACAATGCTACAAGGCTGTAGTGGGTGCAGGAGTGAGCCATGGAAGTGACTGGAGGGCTGTGGAAAATGTCTGCCAATGAGAGGGAAGGAGCTCAATTTGCCAAGCTGCTCAGAAGGAAGGCTGAGGTGTGCCTTGATCACAGCATACACGTAGAGAAAGCCATAGAGGAAGCCAGCAAGTGCCAGCAGGCTCTCCAGCCCAGCCAACTGGGAGCCGGGCAGGAAGCTGAAGCCAGTTAGTATCAAGGCACAGGTGTGTGCAATGCTGGCAGTGGAGTGCTTGAATGGGATCTCTGGGGTAGGGGTGAATGGTCCATTTTTTTGTAACTTCAAATCATGGCAGGTGCTGTTCTCAAAGGTGGGTTAGCCAAACACTAGAAATAAGGCCAGATGCAGCATCTGCATGGTCAAGTTATCTGGGAGAAGAGGGCATAGGTTATCACAGTGGGCATGCTTCCTAGTCCATTTACAGAACCATGTGCCTGCTTTTGTCAGGGCCTCCTGTGTTAACAGGGTATCCAAGGTCTAATCCCAACTCTGAGCGCTAAGAGGCTCTTCATTGTTGCTGAGGAGGAGACAGGAGAGACATGCCAGGGAGTATCTTTAGCAAACTGGTCACATGGGGGGGGAGGGAATGGACGGATGGACCAGAGACAGAAACAGACAGAAACTCCTGCAGGAAGGAGGGGAGGTGTTGGAAGTCTGGAGGAGACAGGGTTGGAGAGAGGGATCTGTATGCATGCTGTGAGGGCTCAACACTTTCCCTAGCTCTTCCCCACATAACACCCATGGTCTCTCTCCCTTCCTCCTGGCCACACAGTGGGGCACAAACGTTGGGAAAGGACAGTGCTGCCTGGGTCAAAAGCAGAGGCACTTACAAAAAGTGGAGATAGGCATGGGGCTTTGGGTTGATAAGCCAGGAACAGGGATAGAAACAGGAAAGTTTCTATTGGGGGATGAGGTGCAAGGGGTCTGTGATACTCTAGGAGCCCTGTGCTGCCATGTAGTTCTCTACGGCCTGCCTCTCGGGGTCCTGTGGCTTCTCCCATATCCCCATGGTGCCAACCTTGCCTTGACCCTTGTACCCTGCCAGTTAACATGAGAAAGTACTTTTTTATACAACACAGAGTTAACTTAAGTAATTCATTGGCACAGGAGGTGGTGGAGGCAAATTGCAGAGCTAAGTTAAAAAAGGGACTGGATATATTCTTGGGTGATAGTTCTATTAATGGCTATTGAACAGATCATTTGGAAACATTTATTTCGGCATCTCTAAATCGATGATGATGAATGCCAAGGAGGTATTAAATAGCAGATAGATCACTGGAGATATCCAGTTCAATGTCTTCCCTCTATAGCATCCACTTCTGCCACTCTCAGAGACGGACTACATGGACCATTGGCCTGACCAAGCATGGCACTTATGTTCTAATGTTGACTTCTGTCTGGGCTGAGTCTGCAGCTGCAGGCTTCCTCTGCAGCCAGGGCATTGTCAGTATGGTGGGCTCTGTGAAGCTGAGCTCTGTTCCCTGTTTGCTATGGTCCTGGCACCAATGTTGGCTTGCTGTGCTGTCCCCACAGGCCAGCCGCCCCGTGGGATGGAGGAGGCCGAGTTGCAGGAGAAGGAATTCTTCTCATGGGAGGAGTTCAGCACCTTCTTTGACGCCTGGTGCGAGCACCGGAAGGTGCTGTTCTTTGTCAAGAACTCTGTGCCGCTCAGCAAGTGCAAATGGGCAACAGCCCCTCCACAGCCCGGCGTAGTGGAGGCCCTGAAGTACAGCTCTGTGCGCCTGGTCTGCAAGGATGTCCGGGGCTCCAGCAAGCCTACCCAGGGGTAAGACAGAGCAGGGACCCCAGGGCTGGCCCTACTGGTGTGGGCTGGGCATGAAGCAGCATGTATAGCAGGGGAGGGGGGGTGGGAGGGGAGGACGGGGGAGGAGCAGGAACAGGAACAGTTGCTGCATCAAGTTGGGGTTAGTACACTCTCTGAACTGTCTTCTGCCATCTGCAATTTCCATTTGGTATCTGATTTCCCCTTCTTGACCTCAGCTGTTGGGCAGTGGGTCTATAGGATGCTTAAACAGTCCCCAGCATGCCCCATCCCAGAGGTAGCTGCACCTCAGTTCTAGTTCAGGTTCTTCAGCACAGCCTTTTCCTCTCTTGCAGGTGATGGGAGGCTGAATGAGATGGGCCAGTGACTCCTTGGTGTGATGCAGCCAAATACATGCATAACCACAAATAGAGTCTGGTCCAGTGTGGGAGGGCTTGATTCCTGGGCTGAAATGCAACATCTGTATGCCTGGGCATTGCTGGGCTGGGGTCCATCTAGCTCTGACTGAAGGGACAGCACTAGCTGTTGCAGAGGGAGATACTGACTTCTCTCTTCACCCTCTGGTTCCAACTCCCTCCATCCACTGGTGTCTGGCTGAAGGGGAGGAGGGCTACATAACCCTCACAAACACTGCCTGTCTTAATCCTTTCTGTAATGCCACCCTATAGGTTGATTCTGTGCCCCTTGCACAGTGCAGCCTAAGGCACAGGCTGACGTAAGGATCCATATTCTCAGGCTGCTCTCTCATGCTTTTCATCAGCAGGTCTCACAGTGCATTAGTCAAGAGGCCTGTGTTACTATCGGCATTTTACAGACAGGGAAACAGAGGTATATGACAGGGGAGCCACTTGCCCAAGGCTCCCTCAGCAGACAAGAGGTGGAATCAGCAATAGAACTCATCTCCTTGGTCCTAGGCCAGTGCTCCAACTGCTGGGCCAAGCTGCTTCAGTGTTGCTGGGTGTTTTGCTTCTACAGATAGAGACATCCATTCCACCCATCATGAGACCTGAGACCAGCATCACTTTGGCAGGGAGCCCCCTAGGATAATGAGTCAAACTAGGACGGATTGTCTCCCAGGGACAGACTCTTCCTTTCCATCAGGGATCAGGGGCAGACTCTCCCTTTCCATCTCATTTACCATCCCCTGGATCCTGCTTTATAAGAAAGGCCTGATCTCCTGTGTGTCCACCAGTTGATGTGGGTGTCTCAGACCTGACCCTTCCCTGCAGTAACCAGCCCTCCATTCAGGCCCCCTGGCCTGAGCCCCCCATCTGTACCATTCTCACCCTGCTCCTGACCCTGCTTGCTCAGCTGGGGCCTAGTCTAGTGCAGTGCTGTCCCTGGCAGGGATTTGCCCTGGCATCTACAGATGTGGAGAGGGGCCCGGCCCGGCCCTACCCAGTCTTGAAGGGAGGTGCCCTTGGTCATTGCTCTCCAAGCTGTTAGCAGCCAGGCTGTATTCTGACTCCTGGAGCAACGCCATGCACAGCTTCCCTGGGACTTGGCCTCAGGAGGACAGCCCCTGCCTGTCTGCATGGCCCTCCCAGCAAGCCCAGATGGGCTGGAGCCCCTGCTGGAGAATGAGTGTGATGTGCCCCCTTATAAAGGGGCTTCCTCTAGGCCTGGATTTCAGGAGCACGCAGGGTTTGTATATATTCTAACAGTAGTCTGTCCAGTTGGACCGCACCTGAAGGCACACTCCAAATGCAGAAATGCTCATGGGAGATACTTGGGGATATCCTGACAGTTGCTCTCAAGAGCTGGGCCTCTGACATGCGTGAGAGCTGCTGCTGAGCCAGACCCCCAGAGAGGTTTCACTGGGGTACTTCCAGGTTTGGAGCATGTCTGTGGGTGAGGGTGCATGATGTCTCAGTGACCTGGATTGGGCATGCTGCTGCGAAGTAAACAAGCCCTCAGAGACC